GTTTGGGGCCATCCATGTAACTTAAACACGTTGTCCAAGTAAGCTTGTGCCACTTCTGCTGCAGAGAATGGATGTCCCAAAGCTATGAAATGGGCATATTTGCTAAACCTGTCAACTACAACCATAATGACTTCCCTTCCTCCAGATTTTGGCAACCCCTCTATGAAGTCCATGGAGACGTCCCTCCAGACCTCAGTTGGTATCTGTAAGGGCTGTAATAACCCAGGATAAGGACTATTGTCATATTTGCAACTTTGACAGGTCACACATTGCCGGATATGGTGATGTACATCTCTGGTCATTCCCTTCCAACAAAACAATCCTTTGAGTTTTTTAAGGGTAGCATCTCTACCAGAGTGACCTCCAGTAGGTGAGTTATGAACCCATTTTAGAATTTGCTTCCTTAATTCTTGGTCTGGCCCAATTACCAATCTTCCTTTCCTTCTTAACAGATCTCCTTGTAGCCCATACTTGCTGACAGTTGTTCCCTGCCTTAATTTTGCCAAAACTTCCCTCAAATTGTTATCCAGAAGATAACTGGACTTAATTGAGGATAGGACATTTGACTGTACTCCTGACATAGCCATTGCCAAGATCTCTGAACCCTTCAGTCTTGATAAAGCATCAGCTGCAACATTCTCCACTCCACTGCGATATTGTATCTCATATTGGAAACCCATAAGCTTGGATAACCAAAATTGTTGGAAGGGAGTTGAGATTTTCTGCTCCATTAACAACTTTAGACTTTTTTGATCTGTAAGGATCACAAAGGGACCACTGCTCAAGTATTGTTCCCACTTCTGTACGGCATGAACTACTGCCAGTAACTCCTTTTCATACACATACAACTGCTGCCATTTTGGACCCAATGTTTTACTTAGAAAGGCTAGGGGATGTTTATCTTGCATGAGTACAACCCCAATACCATAAGTAGACGCATCAGTTTCAACCACAAATGTTTTAGCAAAGTTTGGGAATCCCAACACTGGGGCAGTGGTTAATGCTATCTTCAGTCTCTCAAAAGCATCTGTTGCTTCACAAGTCCAATTGAAGTTTCCTTTCTTCAGTAACTGTGTCAAGGGTTTGGCAATGACAGCATACCCCTTAACAAATTTCCTATAATAGCCCGCCAAACCCAAAAAACTTCTGAGCTCTCTCAGATTAGTAGGTTTAGGCCACTCTTGCACTGCCTTAATCTTCCCAGGGTCAGTGGAGATTCCTTCCCCTGTAATGAAGTGTCCCAAGTATTCTACCCTTCATGCACCAAATTTGCACTTAGAAGCCTTGGCAGCCAGCGTGTGGATTTTCATAATCTCAAACACTTGCTTTAGATGGTCTACATGAGCCTCTAAGGAAGGGCTGTAAATCAGGATGTCATCAAAGAAGACCAGGACAAATTTCCTGAGAAATGGCCTGAAAACTTGATTCATAAGACTTTGAAAGGTGGCTGGCGCGTTGGTTAGCCCAAAGGGCATAACCAAGAATTCATAATGACCAGAGTGAGTTTTGAAAGCTGTTTTGAAAATATCTTCCTTGGCCATCCTAATCTGGTGATAACCTGCCCTCAGATCAATCTTGCTGAATATTTGAGCTCCTGCCAACTCGTCTATGAGCTCATCCACTAGTGGAATGGGAAATTTATCCTTGATAGTTTGTTTGTTCAACTCTCTATAATCCACACATAATCTCCATGTCCCATCCTTCTTGCTCACCAAGACCACTGGAAAAGCGAATGGACTAGAACTGGGTTGAATGATTCCCTTTTCTAGCATTTCTTCAATCAATCCTTCAATTACATCCTTCTGTTTAAGTGCATATCTGTAGGGTCTGATGCTTATAGGAGTAGTTCCTTGTTTTAATGGTATTTTATGATCAAACCCTGGTGGTAACACAACCCTTTTGCACTTTTTTCTGCCTTTTCAGCTGCTGATAAGATCTTAGTGGGTCTGAAGCTTCTAGCAGTGCTGCCTACTGAGCTGGTGTCACTCTTTGTTGCGTCTAACTTGTTCAGATTTCTATTCCCAGCCCACGAGTTATTACCTTGATAGCTGATGGTTCCTTTTGGTGTGGGAAGTAGAGCAGAGGAGGGCTGAGTTTTAGATGAGAACGTTTTTGATGCATTCCTTGAGGCTTGCCAAGATTCTTCTTGTAACCTTGCCAATTGAACAGTCTCATCCAAAGTTTGAGGTTTAAGAGCCTTCACAAATGGTTTAATTTGGTTTTTTAAACCACCTATGAAACTGCCTATAAAGTAGTCCTCAGGAAGCATGGGGGTTCTCTGCAGCATTAAGGATTTCAGTTCCTCAAATCTTTCCAGGTACTCCTCAATTGATCCCTCTTGAATCAATTTATTGAAATCCTCTATGACCTTACTGTAACTGGCAAACCACACCTCTGCCTTACCAACTAAATGTATGGAGGCAACATCTATCCTCTGATCCGCAGGGATCTTACAGAGATCAAAATATCGTTCACATTTTTTAATCCAGTTTCGTGGATTTGTGCCATCAAATACTGGAAATTCGATTTTAGGTAAGAATTTGAAGGCATTCTTCTCACCTTTTTCATGTCCGCTGGATTCTGCATCAGATCTGCGACCATGGCTACTGGAATTCTCAAACATCTCCATCATTTTTTCGAACATCTTCTGTTGTTCCACTCGCATCTCTTCAATCTTCCGATTCTGCGATGCTAATTGTTGTTCCAGAAGAATTTTGAGCTGATTGTTCTGAGAATTTTCCATTTTTGAATCGTGTGAAATCCGTGTTTGATTTCGCGTTTTGGCCAGGATGAACGGCTCTGATACCACTGTTAACAATCAATGCAGGAAGCTCCCACAGAATAAGAACAGAGCTTCAAGGATGACTGTTAATGGCGAATCAATTCGCCAAAGAAGAAAATCAGACGAGAGAGATGAGAGGAAGAGAGAGAAAGTGGATTTGTATTATTATCAACTTGATTTACAGATTACAGAATGGGGTATTTAAACTCATAGAGAAAAATCTCGTCCTACCTAAAAAGTGATGTAAAAAATAATAATGTGTACATACAAGATCAACTGCTTCGACATTACCGATGTAAGAAGATCAATCACAATAAGCAACATGAACTCTCAACGAGTTGATATATAATAGAGTACCAAGCGAAGTAATTATTTCTTCTTCTTTAAAAAAATTGTTTACTGAAGCATCTGTATGCTAGTTTTCTTATTCTTAATAATGCTAAAATCTCATCTAAGCAACCTCACTGAAGATGTTACTCCCTGCGTTCTAAATTAAATTGTATTTTACTATTTACACATGGTCAAACTTCATTTACTTTCTTTTTCAATCTTCATTAGTCATTTGATAAAATAACATAATCATGTTACCACTACTCTTGTTGATTTAGTTTTTAAATATGTAATTTTTAATTCTACACATTTTTCAAATAAAGTGATTTGAAAATAACTTCAGTCAAACGTCATAAACCGAAACAGAAGATTTAAATTGAGATGGGAATATTAGTTTAAGATGAAGTGAGCATGATCCCCAAGAATTAATGTTTAGCAATTCATCTCTCTTTCAACTTTCAAATATGCCAAACAAAGCAATTGACATTAAAATTGGAATAAGTGAGCATAATCCACATGGATTAACTTTGAAGCTTGCACCAATATGCATTGAAAACATACTATTACATTTGTGTTGTTACATCAAACATACACCGGTATTATCTATCTTTACATTGATGAGATCGACATGCCCTACTAATTAAAACTTCCATTGTGCATATGTTATGTCGTGCTGGTGATGTATATTCTTACATCCGTGATGTTGAAGCACTTGATCAATATGATCATGTATGTACGCATTATATATATTTCACCCATAAAAACTCATTTTTTGTAACAGGTTTTAAATTCTATAACCTTACTATTCTTGTGTACGTGTTATTATATATATATATTGCATAAGCTTTCGTTTGTAAGTGTTCGTGCCCCATCATTAACCTACACTTTTTCAATTTTTTTGTCTAATACGACACCTCAATACTGTGTAACGGTACACAGACACTGAGTGAAGTGTGTGTGTGTATGCACTAGCTCACATACAATAAATATCTGTGTATATAGACAATGTGCAAGAGTGTACATGTGTATTAAAATAGTCCTATTTATAAAGAATTTTTCATTGAATGCATTTACCATTCAAGTGCATGTTTAGCTTTATTTAAAGAGCTTCAAGTTTTTATTCGTTGGCGATTGGTTATTTTGCACAAACTTGGTGAGCCAATATTGTATTTGTGTGGACATACTCACATATCTATGTCTGTGAGAAACATACATTCTGAAAAAAAGTTTTTTCAAAAAGAATTCATTCCATATTGAATTTGTACTTAATGGCATTTAATAGGTGAACGTGTGTCTAGAAACATCAATTCAAAAGGAATATATTGGAGATAAGAACTCAAAATTAAATACACAAAATTAATACTAAGGCCGAGATTCATCAATGTCATTCAATATTGAGGAATGCATCAATAACCAATAAAAAACATTGGAAGTCTAACATCACTGTTGAATTCGTGTTGAATCAGAAACAAAAAAAATTAAGATATGTTTGCTGAAATTATTTCCAAAAACCATAATGTTTGAAGATAACAATGTGTCATAATTAAATAGGCATTACAAAACCCATAATGTTTGAGGATAGCAATTGCCACCATAAATAAACACAAATTCTTATCTTTCGCTTTGACATCAGGAAAAATCTTTTAGGACTGAGCGAGTAAGCGCGAATTCATAATCAACATATTTCTATATATCAAAAGTGCAATCTTAGATCTAAATACAGATTTTTGTTACACTTCGTACATATATTATGAGCATATAATCGAATTCATAGAAGTAAAGAAATATACATCCTTGTTGAAGAAAATAAATATATTTCATCCCTGCTAACTTTTTGATGTAGAGAAATACTCATTTTCATCCTATCAATGCAAGAAATATGCTTGCATTGGTGTCTATTTCTTGATTGCGTAGAATGGAAAGAAATATTTTTGATTTAATAAAAAATGTTCAATCATGAATTCATAATTATTATTTCCCTGCTAATCTCTTATCATGAATAAAAATATACAGATTGATCGAAAATATTTATGTACATCTTTAGATTTAATGCCAATAGAAGATTATGGATCTTTTAATGTACATATAATCAACATAATGTAAGTAATAATTTAACAGGGAGATTTGAGCTAGAACCGAATCATAATCGTGGGTGTTGCCCATATGCGGTGCAGTCAATGGGCTTGTCCGACTTGTCAATTGCTCGAATTGGGCTTGTGGCCCGATCAAAGTACCAATCACCGAATACCTCTGCATAAGTCTGCATGAACGAGAGAGAAATAAATAAATAGATATTCCGTATTATTAGAAGGGTTTGATTTTATGGTCACTGTGTTTGAGTGGTCACGAAAGACACTGGACATCTATGATGATCTGTTCGCAAAAATGTTAGAATGTTTAAAAATAATCACGGAATTAAAATTACGACCATATTGTAAAATCTAGAATGGAATTAATTACTTGCCTTGTCTCCGAGGACTCTGATTTTATTTGGACCATACCATGAGAAGTATGTGAATTCATGGCTGACACAATTAGGCACCCAGATTCCAATTGATTGGGAGTCCCCTTTTGGCAGTAAATTTAAAAAGTGCATTCTTAGATCTGAACAAAAAAAATTAAAAAAAAACATTAAATTTGGAATATTATTAGATTATATCACAACTATTTAATTATCAATTAATATAAATATTAATACTACTAACCTTGGATGGTTTTTAACTCTGTGGGAGAGCAATTGTTATGTATAGCGCATTGCTCATATGGTTGTTGTGACAAGCCATACCTTAACTGAAATGGTTGAAACTTATATTTATTTATTTATTAATAATCATATAAAACCGTGAAATAATGAATTGAAAAGAATTATGGCAGTAAATGCACAAAATAATTATTCTTTGTTGATGATGAAAATCGAACCTGAATTTGATCAAATGCTGACATGACTATGAAGATGGGCGTCTTGACGTATTGTATTATATTTTGAGGAAAGAAACACTGAAATTCAACAAAGTTATAAATTACATGGTCAGTATTATTATCTGGCATTCGTCAATTTGACTTTTTGGATTCTTACCGAATAAATTTTATTCATTATTTGAATAATAATTGCAATACTCATTAGTACAAAATGATTTGATTAGATCTATTTTGCTTAAAAAGTTTTGAGAAACTATTAAATTTTATTATATTTCTTCCGGTTTAACTTTTTTTAAGTCAAACTCTGTGCCATTACATATCTAAAAGTAATTGTTACTGTAATTAAAAAAAGAATTTATGCTGGCATATATGCACGTACCAATGAAGGTTGCATTTTTGAAGTGCATTCTTGAGGCAACGATTTAGCCGATCCCTGCAACAGTGTAATTATATATTATTTCCATATTTATGTGGCACTTAATATAATGTACCTTAGCTTCTTTAAAATATAATCTAATTAATATAATTAACCAGTGGAGTTTTCAAAATGATTTGAAGAATTTAAAACAAATTAAAGTGACACATCTAAAAGTATGTTAACATAGAAATAATAATCACAAAAAATAAAGCAGTTATATATACCATTGAATTGACCAAAAATTCGAAGCTTGATTGGAATATTTTGTCTCCTTGCAATTGATCGCTGTTGAAAGGTGCACAAAAGAATTGCAATTTTATTTGCCAGTAGAGGTTCATTATATTAACAAAGTAGTACTTCTTAAATAAATTAAAATTATACTCCCTCCGTCTCATAAAGTGTTACCAATTTTGACTAAAGTAAAAATTAAGGGAGAGATAATTTTATGTTAACTTTCCTAAAATATCCATGATGTGATGGGTAAAAGTAAGATGTGATGTGTACATTATTAGAAAAAAGGTATGATGTGATAGGTAGGGTTTGAAAAAGTAAGGGGTAAAAGTGATTTTTTAATAGAAATGAGTAAGGGATTGTAGGACGTAATTTTTTTGAAACGTGTAAATCTTTTTGGGACGGAGGGAGTATGTATTAACAAGATAAATTAAGTCACTTTTTTATTACTATAAATTAACTCTATTAATATATACTTACTCATTAATAAAGTAGGCAGAATCAGCAAGACACTTCACTCTTGTTGTGCTTGGGAAGAGCGCGCGAAAACGGTCGCAGTGTATAATCGTTGCTAATCCACCGGCAGAGTTGCCCGCTAGGATGGCCTATACACATTTAAATTTACAAAATAATTACAATTAAATATTGCATTTAATTGTCCATTTTCTTAATTATAATTTGTTCAGAATTGATTGTCTATTTTTTTTGTTTTCGATAATGATTAATTGTTTCAAATTTTCTTGAGATAGAAATGAGCAACAAACTCATTTGAAAAAAAGTGTTAGTAATATTAAATTCAATTTTTAAGGAAAAATAAGATTTTTTTTGGGCATACATTTTTAGCATCTTTCATTCCTTGTGATTGAAAGTAAGTCATTAATGCATCAAATATTCTTGCGCCTCTATATGTTCCACCTGTGGCCTGCACCCAGATAAATTAAATTTAGTCACCATATATTCTTGATTATTAGTATTTTTAATTACTTTTAATTATATATATCGGTGGGGTTCTAGTGACACCGAAGTACGGTGCCACTAGCGGTGCCACTGCGTTTTTGGGGCACCTTCGATGCTCCGTTCGCAAAATTGACGGTTCCTACCCTATATATATATATATATATTTGCACTAAATAGTACTTAAACAATTTTATTTTTTAAATAGCACTTAATAATGTCTAGAATGAGGAACACACAGGATAATGGGTACTAAATATATAATGGGTACGTACAGGATCAACAGTTTCAACATCACCGGTGTAAGAAGATCCATCACAATAAGCGACATGAACTCTATGCCAGTTAAATAAATCTGCAATTTGTTATTAATTTCTAAACGTAATTAAATAATTACACATCCGAGTATTTCGTAATATATTAATTATATGTATGAACCTTAGTTATTTGTTTAATCATAAATATATATTAATTAATATACCTGGATTTTCTGTGGCGTTTTCGCTCAACATATCATTCAATGAAATCATAGGGTACATATTCTTGGAAGACCCTAATCTCCCCGTGGCTCTATTCTTGCAATCTTCACCATTTTTGCACCACCCTCCTCCCTAATATATATCATTATTATATTGATTATATTTTAATTACTCCGCATATTAATGGACTAAATGGAGTGGAGTACAATTTGTTAAAAAAAGGTAAAAAAATGGATTTATATATAATTTGTACTCCGATCTCTCCGGTCCTAAAAATATTTTCTGTTTTGATTTTTTGGTCAAACAGTGACATATTCTTTGACAACAAATTAAACATAATCTAAATAAATAATTAATATAAAAATTTGATATATCAAAACTTTATCTTAAGATAAATACAATTATATTAAATTTATATTAGAACTAAATACACTTTTCTCACCATTTGTAATCAAAGAATATTAGCGTTTAATTAAAAAAATAAAACAGGAAAAATTTTTAAGACCAGAAAAAATATTTAATTTATATTAGAAACAAGAAAGAAGGAGACCATTCATTTACCTCAAAGAAAATAACCCAATTATTGGCTCCCTCGCCATATCCCTTGTCATAGTAAAATCCAGGGGCACTCCCGTCCAAACAAACTAAACAAATTTCATACGCAGTTACGCACAATAATTTCAACATACTCCATGCATAACAAAAAAAAAAAAGAATATGCTAAATGCCAAAAATGACCCTGAACCTCCAATGCCCCCAACTCCTCAAACTCTAAACTAAAAGTAATTAACAATAACAAATTAACCTAAAGGCAATGGCATGCATATAGACTTAACTATGTTTTAATACTATGATTTAATACTATTTAGGTAAATTTCGTTTTTCAATCTAAATTTACCAAATTTGACCTAATTGATCCCGTTTTCCAACTCGATCTACAAGCATTTTTTTAGTAGCTTTGAAACAATTATAGCTTAATTTACCTGCTCCGGTGGATAAAGCAGAATCAAGGACGGTTAAGGCGACATTGACCATGCCTTCAATCTTCATCCCTATGCTCAACAAGCAAAGGAAGATGCATACCCACTCATATCTCCGCCCCATTCTTGATCTACATACATCACAAAAATTATGAATACTTATTATTTTTGGAGATAGTAATAATAATAATAATAATAATAACAATAATAATAATAATAATAATAAAGCAAAGTAATTAAACATTACTCCACGTATTATTAAATTTTAATTAAGGTTGTTCTTAAAAAATGGAGAACTTTTGCTCGTTTATTTAATTTAACTTCCATCTTTAACAAAACCAATATAATTTTAGGCCTCCTCAAATGATGAGAAGGAATAAATCACTCCCACAAAATTAAATCATCATATCAATGAGTTGGATCGTGTCTTAAATTAAGCCTCATATATGAGAGCGAATAAATTATATTACTTCCGTCCGGTTTGATTTTTTCTAGTCAAATTTGATGAACTTTATAAATAATCAATTTAAATTTATGTTATATATTAATAGAAAGAAATACATTTCTTAAAATTTGTTCTTAGAGAAATCTAATGAAATTATTTTTATAATAAATTTTTATACAAAAAATTAAACTGAACAAGTACTCTGAAATGGATGTAGTATAACTCAAGATACTCTCATCCAAAAAAACAAATTAATTTATTATATTAAAATTACTACGGTCAATTATAGTAAATATAATAATAATAATAATAATAATAATAATAATAATAATAATAATAATAATAAGGTATGCATGCATGAAGTATATAATACGAGTGGATGAAATGAAAGAAACAAATAGAAGTGAATTGTGACCTGAGGAGTGTGTAGATAAAGGATAATATCCTTATCCAATAATTGCTTATTATTATTAATTATATTAATAATAATAATGATAATCTAGGTTTAATTTTTGCAAAACTCCAATCAATGAAATAAATTGTTAAACCTAGATGGAGGAGCTCGAAAAAAGAAACGGGAAATATAGGGAGGTACTTATAGTTGTGTTAGATTAAAAGTAGCCAAAGAGAAAAATGTGGAGGCCGGTTTTAGTGCCTTCCTTTGTTCACATTTTGTGGTGGAGAGGAAATTAAAATATGATCATTCTAAAATCGGTGGGATTCAGGTCGGGGCAGGGTGGAGAGTTTACCAGGAGGTTAGGGAGGATAAGAATCGTTAATTTTATAAACAAGACTCCGGAATGCCACCAGATCATCCTATGACATTGTCGGGTAATGTCATGGGAACCGTCCCGTCCTAAAATACAACTTTCCTACATTAATCGAACCTTCCTTTGTTCTATGGCCAGTCACTTTGAATGATCACGAACATGTTTTACGGTATCGTGTTCGTAAAATTGACAGTTCTACAGACCTACGGTGCTCCGTGACCATTCAAAGTGAGTCGTTGAATCTTAGACTTTGAATATTTTATAACTTAAGTTTACTTTATTATTGTATACTCTCTTCATCCTAATTTAAATAGTACTCCGTATATGGTTGTTTATGAGGTTTGACTGAAATTATTTTCAATGCAATTTATTTGAAATCTGGCATAAAATTAAAAAATAAAATTTCCATATTTAAAAACTACTACGAGTATATAAAAAATTTAACGTAATATGAGGTGATAAAAGTATATTTTTTATCAAATGAGTAGCAAAAATAGGTAAATAACATGTTTAATCTACATTTAATTTTGTGAATAGTAAATATATATACAACTTAATTAATTTCAGATGAAAGGACTAAAAATTATTTAGACCATTTGTGGATGCTTTAAATTTCATAGATGCTTCATATAGTAATGGTTGGTCTTATTTTAGGGTGGTGTATTCAATCAGAATTTTGATGGATTGTTTTGGATTTTAAAAATCAGTAGGTATTCAATTCAGATTTTAAAAATCATTTAAAATATGGATGTATTCAATCCAGATTTTAAAAAATTCTTTTAAATATGACAGTATTCAAAAATTGATAGATTTGTAAAGATTTTTAATTATATGGATTTCAATGGATTTTCATGCCTTACTTGTTAATATACTCCCTCCGTCCCGCTATATTCGTCCACTTTTGACTTTTGGAATTGTTCATCTAAGCACTGTGACTCATCAAATTCTCTTAATGTGTAAGCCTAAATATAGTCATGCGTGATCTTGTTTGATTTATCTTAACATATAGATTATTAATATATAATTTCTATAATTTTTTAATATACAAATTACAAGATAAAATAAGTTAAAGAAGTGTATTGGATGGTGTGCAAAAATGAAAGTGGACAAATATAGTGAGACGGAGGGAGTAATTCCAGATTTGAAATCCCACCAACAACCCTAGGATTTCGCCAGACTTTCTTCCCCACTAACGTAACTAGGTCCACTTCTCATCTTCTTTTTCGATCCGTCGGCATAGCACTGGATGACTTCTCATCATCTTCTTCAAATTCTCATCTTCTTCTTCAATCCGTTGCTAGACTCCTTTCTTTCCGCGGAGCTCTAAGAAGGAAGCCAGATTCTCGATCTTTCAGGTCTTTAGCTCCCGTTCCAGATTCAATTCCTCCAGGAGGGAAGGAAACCAGATTCAATCTTTCCACGAAGGACATAGGCTCGCCGGCGGCGGCAGGGACGATGATGGACGGGGATGAAGAAGAAGGGGAATTTGAAGAAAGGGGAGAAAGAAGAAGAATAAATAGAAGGAGGAGGGGAGAAAGAAGACAAAGAATGAAAGAAAGGGGAAATAAGGAGGAGGAACGAAGGAGAGAAGAGAAAGAAAAAGAAAGAAAGAAAAAAGAAGCAGAAAGGAGAAGAAGAAGGGGGCGTAGGAGAGGGGAAGAAAAACAATTGGAGTCAGACTGAGAAACAGAGAAACAAAGAATTAAGCTAGGGGTACACCAACATGGGGTACCCCAAGTGTACACCAAGCCAACACAGACATTTCGTGTCTGTGTTGGCTTGGTGTACACTTAGGGTACCCATGTTGGTGTACCCCTAGCATTGCCCTTCTAATAAATCTATCAAAATCTATGTTAAAATTTCTCTAATTCTGTGTAGACTTAAAATAATCTTTTGATTTTATATAGTCTATAGATTCTAATAAATCTATCAAAATTTTTCAAACTCTGAATTGAATACACCCCCCTTAGTTTGAATGGAATGCTTCACACACGAACTTTGTTCTCATGATTATTTAATTCGTATAGTTTTTCTTCCCGAAAATATCGTACCTGATGGTGTAAATTACTCGACCGGTCAAACTATACTAGACCGGGTCTAGAATAGTTGGCTAGATTTAGTAAAAGTAAAGAAAGTAAAAATACTCAGAATGACCGGTAGGACTTTAGGTGGAACACCTGTAGCCCGAATTATATTAAAATAGAGAATGCACGGTCACTTTTGCAAGGGAGTCTAGAGAGAGTGAATTCGGATCCCCTTCTTCGAGGGTTACAAGAGGTATTTATACTAAGTTTTGGGGGACAGGACCACGTGCGCCCACGTGGGGGCATGCTGCTGGCGTGGTGTGAGGTGACTAGCTTTATCCTCGAGCCGCCCTGTCACCTTGCGAGAGGGATTATTCCCTTTGTCGTGATCTGGTTTGGAAAAATGCCTTCAGTATCTTTACCACGCCAACCACTACAGTCCAAGTCCTCTTGGACCCTTCCTGCCGACACTCACCAGCGGTTGTTCTTCGTGGGTTGATTTGCTAACTCCAAAAGATGAATTAGATGCTGATATAGTTTGACCGGTATACTACCCGAAGTATACCGGTCACCCTTTTGGTCAACCAGCCATCCTTCTGCTGACGATCCAAATCGTTCTTTCAAGTTTTACCTCTTTGACCGGTCAACTATCCGGTTCCACTTTTTGACCGGTCATGGGTGAAATACACCCATCAATAAGCCCTCCACTTCTCGGTTATGCAATTTTGTCATAAGCGGGAAGTAAAAAAAATCTGAAATAGGACTTTTAAATTCGAATTTTGGCTTTTCCCGCTCGAAAACTTTTGAATTTGAATTTCAAACTCCGAACCCTGCCACGCGTCGCGCTCCCACTGTTGCAATGGTCGGTCAGCAGACCCGTCGTTTCGCCTGCCAGCGGGTCATCATTGCGCCGCCCTACGTGGCGCCCTCCGCATGGGCCACGTCGCCCTCTCTCTCCTTTCCCTTCGCCTATATAAAGGACTCCAACCCATTGCCTTCCTCATTTTTTCCTCGCGCACCTCTCGAGTTCTACCGGTCAGCCTCTTCTCTCCAGCTTCCTAGCCCTCCGAGCCAAGTAAGCTTTCTTCGTTTCTTTATTAGTTTTTTCTACTTTTTCTTCCGGTAGATGTCTTCCCCTGATAGTCAAGATATTTCTGCCTCGGGTGCCCGCGCATCCGAGGAATCCCTTTCTTCGTCTTCTTCGACCGGGTCGTCTTCTCCCATCTGGTCGACTCCAAACCCTCGAATCCCTGAACCGCAGCCGCTAAACCAGATGGCCGGTCACCTTTTTGCGGAGGGGGAGGAATCGGTCAACGATGAACCGGCCCCCTATGACCCGGAAAAAGAGACCAGGGATCAGTGGGTGGAGAGGTTGGACGCAGCCGGTTACTCTCCCCTCCCCATTTCCTTTGTTTCAGATATCTACCCTCACGTGTCTAAGATAGCATTGAATAAGGCTCGTAGGAAACTCCCGGTTGGCTACGTTCTCGAATACGACGAGAACTGGCCCAACATCATCGAACCTCACCGGGAGGATAGAATAGGTTTCCATATTGCTTCCTTAGAGAGTGGTATTGTTTTTCCCCTTCGCCCCCTCTTGGTTGAGCTTTGCCATTGCTTTAAGATCCTGCCCGGCCAGATTACTCCCAATGCCCACCGGTTACTCAACTCCTTTGCTAATATTTGCGCCCACCTTCACATCGACCCCTCTCTTCGCCTCTTCCTTTATATGTTCGAGGTCCGTCCCGGCAAGCCGGGTTGCGAGGGTTTCGTCTATTTCAAAGGGCGAAACAACCGTAAGTTCATTTCTGACCTTCTGCAAAGCAACCGTTTGTGGAAGGAAAAATTTGTGTTCATAAAGTTCCCCCCCTCCGTCACCCCTCTGGCCGGTTTGACGTGGAGCGATAACCTCCTGAAGTACCAATTCATTGAGCCGCCCACCACTCCGGACTTGGAGGAGAGTCTGGAACAGCTTCTTAAGGGGGACCCTCATACCGGTCAGATGTACCACTATGGGGGTTGGGTTTGGCGCATCCAACCGGGTGACGAGGGTTCCTCCCGGGCCCATGAAGCAGCGGGGCACGGGGGACCCTCCCCGGGAAACACTGCGGAGGCTGGAGGCCCAAGTCACCCAGGTATCCCTCTATTTCTTTTTCCTTTGCTTTTCTTACTGGACCGGTCGTGGTTGGATTACTTAGAAATATCTTGCTTGTTTTTTGTAGATATGAATTTCAGGGCGTACAATATGCCGAAGACTACCGCCGGCTCTTCCTCTGCTGCCGCCACAAACAAGCCGGTACAACCGGAGACGGTTGTGATACATGATGAGGAAGAAGACCTTCAGACCGGGGGAAGAGACCGGTCGGGGAATGAACCGGTAAATCCTTCCCCCAACAAGGAAAAGGGGAAGAAGAGGGTGAAGCACACGGCCTCAACCCACCCATCCTCCAAAAAGAGAAGAGGGGGGCACTCCCCGGTTAAAGAGTCAATGGAAGAGCTTTGGGTCAAGGTGACCCTTAAGCTGAAAGAGGTAACGTTCCCCCGGTAATTCTTCAAATCGTACTGTCTGTTTGTTTTTGCTGACTGATCTGATCTTCAATTTGCAGATGGGCGAGGTTGGGTCCGAAGCCCTGGAGCAGCTTAACGGGGACTCCTCCTCCCGGTTGGCCCAACTTGAGGAGAAATTGAAGAGATCCGAGGCCCATACCCGGGAACTCCAGGATCTGACAGCCCGCCAGCTCGAGGAGATGGAAAACCTTTCTAAGATGGGCGGTGAGGCGAAGGCCGAGATCCTCCAGCTGAAGGAGGAGAACCTGAAGCTCATGGAGGACGCTGAGCTCAAGGAGAAGGAGTTTCCCGGCAAGGCTCGTCAATGGATGGAGGAGAACCTCGTGAAAGCTGCCCGGGTTCTCACCTCTTCTGAGGAGAGGACAATGAAGGGCTTCAAGTTGCTGTACCAGTCAGAGCACGGAAAAGAAATGATTACCCAAGTCGGCTCCTATGGTTTCATGTCCGGCCAAAAGAGAGACCGGGAGGCAACGCACGCGATCCTTGCTGAGCGGTTTCCAGATTTTGATGCTGAATCCTACGGGCTGGCCCCCATCCCGGATGATGAGCCTGCACCCCCTTTCCCCTTAGAATGATCTTCCCGGCTGCGCCCGGTTATCTTTTGTAAACTCCAAACTTTGAATTTCCCCGGGTATGCCCGGTGTAGCTGTAAACATTTAACATTCTCATTTTGTTTGAATGCATGTCTTTTTTCCATACCGGTTGATCTTGCCTACCTGCTTGCTCCTTGATTGTTACTCTTTATTGCTTCATAGAAACTCTGACCGGTAGATGAATCAGGCTACTTCCCAATTATTTCAAACCGGTAGAACCTCCAAGCTCTTCTTGATCACTTTATTTAAAAGTTTAGTTCGAGTGACTTTGACCGGCTGGACTTCCTTTTGGTTTTTGAATACCTCCCTTTAGTTTTGAAAATGAAGCAAAGTTTGACCGGTAGGTCCCTTCTCCATGGTTCGACCGGTGAACTGCCCTGCTCTGTAGAATTTTCGAAGTTCCGCTGCGTCAATACCCAACCGGGGTATTCCCTTTTTTTTTTTGACCGGTAGGTTGTAGATGGAACACCTGTAACCTAGTGATTTCTTGAAATATCCTTAACCGGTAAGAATACTGGAGATTTAACCATGTTCGGATGGTTTCGGACCCTCTCCAAGATCCAGATGCACCCTTCTTCCAGGGCCCGGAGAAGGCCCACTAATTCAGAAAATTACCGGGAAACTAAAGAACCATCCCGGGAAGGCCTTAGCTCACCCCCCGTTCAAGTCTTCCCTGAGAAGGGGGAAACAGGATGCGCCACGGTGGACGATCCCCTTCTATTTCTTTTAATGAGCATCTTTTAGTCCCCAATCAGTTTGACGGTACCGGCTGATTCCCCGACACCAGTCAAACATCATGGGCCCGTGTAAGTACGGTTCGAACCCTCTTCCAGGTCCAGCCCTCTTGCAGGCATACCCTCTTCCGGGCCCCTCTTCCGGGTTTTATATTTTTTCTATTATACTGAGCAAGACCGGTGTAGTAACCAGCGTGCCAGGTCCGGGCCTGTGTCTCAGTTGGCTTATCCGAGTGGATCCGATCCACCCGGGTTGCCCTCCTAGGATAGGTTCGACCTATCGATTCTGCTGCTACCATGTAGAGTACTGAATGTCATCGGTTTGATTGATAATAAAGTAGGTCTTGCCTAGTATTACAATCATTTGTAGAACTTGCGAAGATGATGGGAATTCCAAGTTCTTTCTACCGGTACCCCTTCAAGAGTTTCTAACCGGTAGGTCCCCGGGCGAATGATAGCCCTCACCCGGTAAGGCCCTTCCCAGTTTTTGGCCAGCTTTCCTCCGTCTCCCGGTTTACTAGCCTCCCTTCTTCGCAGGACTTCATCGCCGACTTGAAAGTATCGCGGTCCAACCTTGTTGTCATGGTACTTTTTCACGACTTGTTGATATGTGCTCATTCTAACTTCCGCGGCCATTCTCCGCTCTTCGACCAAGTTGAGTTCGGCCAAGTGGTCTTCCTCATTTTGCTGGGGTTGATAGTTTGATTCCCGAAACGTTGGGAATTCGGCTTCGATGGGCAGCCTAGCCTCACACCCATAGGTTAGAGAGAATGGAGTTTCCCCATGAGCCCTCCTAGGTGTTACTCGGAACGCCGAGATGATATGTGGTAGCTCTTCCAGCCACTTGTTTCCTGCTTCTCCCAGCCTTTTCTTCAGACCATCCACAATGGTTCTGTTTGCATTTTCAACTTGGCCGTTTCCCTGGGGGTACGCCACCAAAGAGCGGTTATGCTTGATCCCGAAGCCCTCCAAGTACTCGGTGAATCTTGGATTTCGGAATTGTGGGCCGTTGTCGGTGATTAGGTTCATGGGAGCCCCAAACCTTGTGATGATGTTCTTCCAGATGAACTTCTTGCATTGCTGCGTGGTGATATTAGCCAAGGCTTCGGCCTCGATCCACTTGGTAAAGTAATCGATGGCCACGATCACAAACTTCTTCCCTCCCTGGGCGATTGGGAATGCTCCAATGATATCCACCCTGAACCTAGCGAATGGGATGACATTTGATACGGGGTGGTAGTAGGTTGCCGGCCTACCGGGGTATTTGTAGAATACTTGGCATGTTCGGCATTTTTGAACGTACCTCTCACAGTCCTGGACAATTGTCGGCCAGTAATATCCCAACAAGATAATGCGCTGGGAAAGGGTGCGGGACATTTGGTGTGCTGCGCATACCCCTTCATGCACTTCTGCTATGACTCGCTCAGCTTCCCGGTTGGTGAGGCACCTCAGGAGTGGTCCTCCGAATGCCCTTTTGTACAGCTTCCCATCCAGGACCTGGAACCGTGGTGCCCTGAGCTTCACTTTTCTTGCCCGGTCATCTTGTTCCGGCAAGGTCCCGTTCATCAAATACTCCATCAGATCATACATCCAGTGATCATCCGCCCCGACCAAGTTTGACCGGTCAGATTGGGCTTCCCCTGTTATGACAGCTACTTCGAGTTTCTCGATGCTGGCACGGTCCAAGATTTCCACCCGGGCAAGTTTTGAAACATGCT